ACATTGCTGCTATAAACATTGGGGTACAGGTGCCCCTTCTTTTCACTACATCTGTGTCTTTGGGGTAAATACCCAGTAGTGCAATTGCTGGGTCATAGGGTAGCTGGTACTTTTAAACCTCAAATGAATGGCTGCTTCTTGGAAACTCCAGTCTTCCTCAGAGCTTATAGACAGGAACTACTCTTTTAATGTTTGGAGACACCCCCGTGGTGGCAGAGATGGTGCCCATAGGACACTAATAGGACAGCTTCCCCAGGGGCATTTCACAGTTCAAACCAGGACCGCAGAGGGGAGGGAGGAAAGGAGGGTGGAAGTGGGAAAAGGGAGTAGTCTGTTCTTCAGTTTTGTGATTGCATTTAAGCCAGGATTCACATGCTGAAAGAATGTATTTCTGGTGGGATGGTTTTGGTTTTGAAGGAAGGTCTTCTCTCTGTACCCTCCTACTTCTCGTTCATGGCTCTTCCACATGGTCATTTCCTGCCTTCCAAGGGCAGCGCTTGAAGACTGAACGTGGGATCTTAGTTGCAATAGCTTTTTCTATGTCTCAACTCCTCATACTTGGAGACTAAACTCTGTTTCATTGTCTTCCTGTGGCAGCATATGCTTTCTCCTTTTCCCAGTGGGTGTATGGCATGTATGGAAAGAAACTCCATTTGTGAATCATGCCCTGGTCAACCTTGGGAACTCTGGCAGCTTTTATAAAGAGCTTGTGAAGTTGTGCCGAGACATTGGGAGGGTCTGGTCATTTTAACTATCCCTCATCATATGAGTATTTCCCTCCACACACAAGATTCTGCTATGTGACAGCCACGGACAATGCAAAAACTGTGGCCTGAGCAAAGGAGAACCTGCCTTTGGAGAAATGTTCAAGATTGGGGTCTCCTCTCTCCTCTAAGTCATAGGGACAAAGCTCCAGTATGAAATATGGGTTTCCCCTCTGAAAGTAATATAAACACTAAGGAGGCAGAGGTGAGGGTGGGAAGGACAAGAGTTGTACAGGGAACACAGAACCTGGGGACACATGGAGGAGGAGTGGAGGGAAAGGTGAGCAGGTGGGTTCTAGGGGTTTCTGGAGTAGAGGAAGGCACCTCAGGGACCTGGTATCAATTCCTGCTAATGGGCTGGCTCTAGACCCCAGAGCTAGTATATTACAAATGAATATCCACTTCAGATCAGGGCTTAGAAGCCAAAACTATAGTTTTTGAGTGATAATGCTAATGTCTGTAATTGCTAAATCCCCTTTTTGTATTAGCCCTTGAACCAACTTTGCTGAACTGTTATACTTAAGACTCTGTCTGCCCCCGGGGAGGTCGCTCTAGAACTATGTCCTCGGCATGGATCAGAGAGCCGTGGTAACATAACAGTGACCAAAAAATTACAGACATATCCCATAAAAAGCATATGGGTTAAAAAATAGATACTTCAAGGTAAAAAATTAAAGACAAGATTAGAATGTGGTTATTTTCTCATATCCAGAGAAATGATGGTGAGGATGCCTTTGTTCAGCAAGACTGGGGGCTCCTTTTTGGCGCCGACTGGATTTTTCCATCATGAGTCTGGAAGTGCTCTTCAGTGGGGCTGAGGGTACACACTGTACTTGGGAGACAGCTTTCAGCCAGGGCCTCACCTCTACTTTTCCAATGGCTTCCATATCTTTGATCATTTTTCTGATTAGCATGATATCCTGACAGTAAGGACCTAATATGTGTGTGTGTGTGTGTGTGTGTGTGTGCTGGTGGGGGTGGGCACCCTCAACTCTGACCTCCTACTGGGCCCAGCAGGTGAATACCACCACACCTCATATCATCTTAGGCCAAACCTACGACTCCTGTTGAAGTGGTTAGTGAACATCCTTGACATCTATGCAAAATATCGGATACCAGAGCTCTTGGCCCTGCATGTATCATTTCCCGTGTGGCTAATTCCTTGGCAGTAAAACCCACACTAATGGTGTTTATTACTTAATGTGTTTTGAAGCTGTCTGCTCTGGTGTTGGGGCTAGGATGAGGGTTTCAGGCCACAGCGGCACTGTGGTCACAGAGGGGGTGGGTGGTGGTGGCCAGAGAATGATACCCTCTGCCTCTAGCTAGCTGGACGCAAAGCTCCCGTCATGTGTCCCAGGTCTCACTAAGACTTAAACTCTGGGAAGTGAACGTCTTATTGGCATTTTAAAACAAGTAATTGCAAACATTCCCTTGGAGTTGTAATAACTCAAAACCAACTTGTCCTTGATAAGAAAAAGTAAAGATAAATCTGCTTGTTATAAACAAAGTCATCGTGGGCTGTGGAAACACTCCGGGAAAGCTGTCCAGAGTAATGGAGTCGAATCTAATTTTAAAGGGCATTGAAAAGAAATTTAGATTCTTTGCTATCAAGCTGTGACCAATTTAGGAAAATAAATAGCAAACAGAAACCCCACACAGGAGGTGATGTTCTTTCAAATGTATTTACTGCCTGTATTTTCCCAGGAAAAATAAACATTTCTTAGGAACTAAAATGTGACTCCAGCGTAAGTCTGCAACTAGGTTCTGGGGACCCACTCTTTCTCCTAGCGCCATAGAGATGGGGTAATTCGGTGGCATTAATATTTGGAACCAACCCCAAACCAATGACTGCCATTGGATTCCAAAGTTATATAAGCCTGGAGAATCTCTGCTACCCGAGAGGAGCCGTTTAGCTTTCAAGCAAATTCTTGGGCCAAGATTTGAAGGCATCACTGAGGGATGAACACTTGGGTTCCTTTCTATATTGTATTTTTCCGTGGGATGTTCCTTCAGTGGGTCCCCCAGGCAAAATGAAGCAAGCACTTGAGTCAATTAGGTGTTTTTCATGCCCACGATCTCATGCTGATGTTAATTTCTCTGAGGAATCTTCATTTCCACTATAGCCGTCCACCCTTATTTTATATAAGGAGTGAACTTGGCCATGTTCTCTCTGCCTCTGTGTCATTATGAGTGAATCCGAGAAACCTCCCCTCTCCAGTGTGAGCCAACGAGGGACTTTTCACTTTCTGTGGAACGCATGCTAAACGGAAACCATGATAAAGTAGAGGCTAATTTATAAGGTACGGAGGGGAAGGGGTTAAGATGCTTATTTAAATACACTGAGTATTTTTATTTTGGGGTTTCTAGTTTATCGCTGAAATCAAACTCTGTTAATATGTAAACCCAGTGACTCTGAGGTTCAAAACTGAGCCTTCAGAAGGATTGTTCCCTCCGCTGAGTAGGAAAGAGTTAACCTAGAGTCGGATAGCTCAGGAGCCCCAAAGTCTCATTTGGTGCTCTGACTTTTGTAATTATATTATAGAAAATTGTTCAGCTTTGTTCCTTTGCTTGTAAAAAGGATGAAATATTTCTGGCAGGACAATCCACTGTGATACTAACTAACTGTCTTGTTTCCAGGTACTGTAGGAATCTTCGAGAGATGAGAGGTGTTCTCCTTCTCCCTCCCAAGAGTTTCTCAAGTCTTTGTGCTGCCTTTCCTGCCTTCTTAAACAGAAGTTGGTGACTTCTGTTTAAGGACAGGAGCAGAACTTTCCAGGTACCAGAAGACACAACCCAACCTCACCTGGGACTGAGAAGGGTACGGGGGTGGGGAGGTGGGTTGGGAGGAACAGAGGGGGTCCAGTACCAATGTCTGGGAGGGGAATGGACGTTTTTTTTTTTCTTCTATTTCCTTCCTACCCCAGGCCTTGGGTTCGAAGAACTAGTTGAGATTCTCTGCCCCAGGGTGGCCGGAAGCAGCCCAGACTCAGGCACCGTGTGAGCCTGACCCAAGTTGCATGCTGGTGACCAGTAAATACCTAAGCTCCAAGGTGCTTCCTTCAATTTACTGAATTAATGAGACCCCTAGGGGCACTCCCTGAAATGCCTGAAATTTACTTCTCCTCTGGGCTGACCAGAGACCTGGAGCAGATTAAATTTGATTTAAAAGGTCAAGAAAAGGACGTTTCTTGTGCCTTAGTATTCTGATCTAAAAATTTATACTCACAACACGTACACTCTTATTTGGGTGTGTTTATCATTATATAGAAACAGACGCACATTCACAAAACAGTGCGGAGGATTTTGGAAGGGTGCTGCAAGGTGTAACATATTTTTCTTTTAATCTAAATAATTATATTAAAGCAAGTTTGAATGATTTAAAAGTGACAGCCTCCCTTAACATGAATTTGGGGCTTTCTTCTGAAAGAAGCCAGTCACCGGGCACCGAGTGCAGGAAGTGGCCCTCCAGGGGTCTTCTTTCACTCCTCCCGTTTCCTGCTTCGTCCGGGAGTGGGAGTTGTGCACATTCCCCAGGGGAGGAAAGAAAGCCCCGATGCAGAAGGACTTTGCCCAGAGAGGCGCCTGAGCCACTGGGGACCTTCAAAGATGATCCTTTTCTCTACACAGTCCATGCATTTTGAAGCATAAACATTTTGTTTGGGAAAGCCCTGGATGTGACTGGTGGGCACACACAGACAGGCTGACTGCTGGGCACTGGGGTTCTGAGCATTAAGCAAGAGCAATTTCAGAATGGCAGGGCCTTGCTTCTCCCCAGCACAGTGATGAAAGGAGCTTTCAGTCTAGGATCAGCAATGAAATAAAACCTCAGCTCTCCTTCACAGCTCTGATTCTGATCAGAGATCAACTCCGTCCACCCATGACAGGAAATTTAATTTCTATACTTACTTGGTACTTGACTCCATTAAAACAAAGACTGAAACCCAAAGTCAACCGGGAGACTCAGCATGTTTGTAAGGTGAGTAGATTCCTCTGCCCTCTGCGGCTGGAATAAAGCCCCGCCAATCAGGCACTTGATCCCTTTCTAAAGCCCCGTTATAAGCCTGGCTGCTTCTATTGGGGTGTGTGTGTGGCGGGGGGGGCGGTGTCATTTTCTTCTTTCTTGGTATCAGCTCCTGCTAAGGGTGCTCTGGGACTGTGGCTTAAAAGGGTGCTCTGGGACTGAAAGGAAAGGCATGGCCTCACTGTGCGAAGGACCCACTAGCTAGCACCACGTACCGTGCATGGTTATGCAGAGGCTCTTCGGTCAGCAAGTTAGAAGAAAGGGTGATGCAGCTGCCATACATCTCCTAGAGAGGTGCAATTAAACATCATCTGAAAACATGCAACAAAGCTCAGCACGTGCACATGTCTCAGTCAACAGGAGGCATGCAGGAGGCAGATTAGCGGACAGAAGCTTCATACATACTTTAAGGAGCACGGGGAGCTGCTGAGATCATTCTTCCACTCCTGAGTGACAAAACCCAGTAAGTGACTTGGGAAAGTCTTATTTGAGCAAGGTAAGGCTGGCCGTGTGAAACCCAAAGGGGCTGGGGCTTGGGGCACGGGGGTGACTTTTCTAGCTGAAATACACACAACATGGAAGTCCTTTACGACAAAGACAATTCACGTTGGAAATCAATGTATAGTTAAAACTGGCGTTCGATTAATTAGAGCGATATTAACGGAAACTCGATTTCGGTATTGCAAAAGGAATCTGGACAGGTCTTAAACCTCACCGTGATGGAATTTCACCTTACAGCTAATAATCAGTTATGCAGGTTGGGGCTCTCTAGATTGTAGGATGGATATTATGGATCCTTCCATTCCTTAGAGTTTCATATTTTGGATGCTATACCATTTTTTGGGGATGGCACGGCATGCACAGAACACATGGCAAACATCGTCTAAAAAGATGTTCCTATCTCTTATTCACTGGTTTTATTTATTTATTTATTTTTTTAAAAGATTTTATTTATTTATTTGAGAGAGAGAATGAGATAGAGAGAGCATGAGAGGGGGGAGGGTCAGAGGGAGAAGCAGACTCCCTGCCGAGCAGGGAGTCCGATGCGGGACTCGATCCCGGGACTCCAGGATCATGACCTGAGCCGAAGGCAGTCGCTTAACCAACTGAGCCACCCAGGCGCCCTCTTATTCACTGGTTTTATTTTTTTTATTTTTTATTTTTTATTTTTTTAAAGATTTTATTTATTTATTTGAGACAGAATGAGAGAGAGAGAGTACATGAGAGGGGGGAAGGCCAGAGGGAGAAGCAGACTCCCTGCCGAGCAGGGAGCCCGATGTGGGACTCGATCCCGGGACTCCAGGATCACGACCTGAGCCGAAGGTAGTCGCTTAACCAACTGAGCCACCCAGGCGCCCTCTTATTCACTGGTTTTAAACCACAGATTACAGTGCATGGTTTTCCAGGAAATGCAATTATAAAATGTAGTTCATGGCACACTCCGCCATCCCTCATGTACTGAGCACTCCAGACTGCCCCAGCATTATCCTGATTAACACTTACTGGTTTGTGTCATAAAATGCCAATGCGGAGGTCCCTGTGGGTGTATTCCTTTCAAAGGTCATTCCAAAGTTGAGTGGTTAAATCTTTAGAAATAGAGTATCTATTTATGTGCTCTTTCATTGGGCTTGAGAATAAACTAGCCAGTCATCTAAGGAGAACAAATTCTTCCTGAGGAAGAGTCAGTGCCAAGGAAGGAAGGGCCTGGTTTCACATCAACTGGTGGTCTGATCTTGTAGAAATGCCTCCCAGTTTAGGACTCCTAATACTGAGGGAGCAAACTATTCAGGGCAACTGGGGGACCAGCGTATAATGTCCTGTGAGGTACTTAATCTTTCTCTCTTATTTTCCAAAGGAAGAGCAAAGTGTCTATACTCTAATGTGACATATCTCATTAGAAAGCACACTGATTGGGCTTCCCGTGCATCCCTTTGGACTTTTTCTGGGGATTCCCTGTGGTGGCAAAGGTCACCAGTCTGTAGTGTGAGGAACAGCACAGAGAATTCAAAGGCAAAAAAGGGACAGTCTCCAAATAGCACTCACCGCCTTATTCTTTCCTTTGCTAGCAGAGCTCACGGGATTTCCCTTGGGGTCTGTTGTCTTCCTTCCAAGTGAGGTTAAGGGCAGTGTGGACGTCTTCAGCTGGTTGGCCGCCTGGTAGTTATTATTATTGTTCTGGTTGCCGCTGAGCGTCTCCATGATAGACCGGAAGGTTCCAAAAGGCCTTTTCAGTTGGTCCCCCGATTCACTACTTGTGGAGGCCCTCTGGAGGGGCCTGCCTTTATCTTTGTCCTTCTCCCCATTTAGCTCAGGGCTAGTTTGCTCCATCTGCACCACAGGCTCCTCAAAGGTAACTCTGAGTTTCAAGTTCTGGGAGGTCCGGCGCTTGGAAGATGGAGACTTGAGGGCGCTCTTGGGGCTCATGGCCACTTTCTGGGCAGCAGTGCTGTTAGGGCTGGGCTGAGCGGGGTCTCCAGAGGGCTGGCTTGGGGGAATGGTCCCTGAGCCAGGACACTGGGATTCCAAATCAGGTTCGCTGCTCTCTGAGGTGGGGGATGGGCTTTGGCCATCCAGAGATTTGGAGGCCTTGATGCCAAAAGGAAACCTACGTCCCGATGCCAAGGTGTGTTTCTTTATCATCAGATGTAAGCTTTCTGCGCTGTCCACACTCTCCACACTTCCCACGATGGGCTGCGGCCGGGGCCTGTCGGCCTTCCTCACAGGTGTGCTCTTGGGGTCCTCAGAGGTGTTGGAATCCGTGTCGGACTCACTCAGGGACCGCTGCATCAGCTGCCTCAGCCGAGCTAACTTCAGTTCCCTCTTCTCCGCAGGGATCTTCTTGGAGTTTCTAGAGGAAGCCTGAGCATCCTGGAATTCCAAGGACAGCTTTTCCTGGGTGCAGACGTTCTCTGAGATATCTTTTCCCAGTAACTGGCGTAGGATTTTGTCAGAATCTTCGTCTTTTGCTTTGGCCCTGGCCCGGCTGGATGCTGACAGGCTTCCAAGAACCTGAAGCCCCTCTTGGACTCCAGGTTTGCTTTTGGCTACAGACTCGTCATCCGCATCTGGAGATTTCCACTGGGACCTCCTGGAAGCTGGGGAGGACGGTGAACTGAAAGATGATGAAGAACATATGAGGGAATTTCCTATCACTGAATTCCTTCACTGCCACGAACGACTTAACAACAAATCGACAGGACTGGAGTAAGAATAATCCCTTAATGTCTGTGCAAATCAATCTCCATAGTGGCAACTATGACCAAAGTATAGTGCCTCATACCTAATGCCATGACGATATAAATTTGTCTACTCTTTTACTGTTTACACATCAATTTTGCTCTAATTCTATTATTCTCATCTTCAACAACCTTACGAACCTACATATCCTTATTTCCATTTCACAGATGAAGAAATGAAGGAGTCCGAAAGAGTACGTGACTTGCTTACAATCGGGGAAAGAAGAAATGACAGAGCCAGAGATGAACCCAGGTCTTTTGACTTTAGGCCCAAGGCCTTTTCCCCCTGAAATGTCTCAATTTTATTCCTCTTTATAAAAATAAAATATTGTGGTCTTCTTAAAGATATTTTCCCTAGAAGTCCAAAAGAAAGTTCAGAGATTAAAAGTAACTAAGAACTCTAACCACCCATGTTCTTGGTATTACCTGGGTGAAGAAAGGAGTGACTCTGATTTCTGGGCTTCCAGAAGTTGCTGGAGCTGGTTCTGCAATGTGACGCGTTCCATTGTCTGTCTAGGAAAAACAAATGGAGACACGTGAGCTCTCTGATACATGGCCGCTACTATAAATGAGTAGCTATAAACTTTTTCATGATTATTTCAATAAATTGCAACAAATCCCAAAGCCTTACAAATGTGCATATTCTTCATTTTGCAATGCAGAAACTTTCCTAAGGACACAGCCAAGTACCCAAAAGGATGCTTATTATTCACACTAACAAAAAAACTGTAAATAACCTAAATGCTCATCAGTAAGACTAAGTGAATAATTTAGTTATTTCCATAAAGGCAGCTATTAAAAATGAGAATATATTTCAGTATCCATGACATAGGAAAGGTTTCCCTAATACATGTGCATAAAGTACACTTTATGTATATATACGTATATTAAGTAAAAAAGGAAATTACAAAATACTGTGTGTAGTATACCATTTTTAAGAAATCTCCATATATAATGTATATATATTATTTATAACGTGTATACTTATCTAATTTACTCTCTCCAAATTGTTTAAATCTTTAAAGTAATTGAATTAATTTAGTGATCAGAGAAGAGCAAAATAAAACAACACAGCTATTTCCGTATTGGGTAAAAACCATGAAATAACTTGGTATTTTCTTACATGAAGGGAAACACGTATGGCAACACTCATTTTCTTCTGGAGATAAGAGCATGTGTTTCAAATTTAAGAAAATCAGTTAAAAGCCACAGGTCACAGAAATTGAAATCAGTTTAGAAAGCATATTACAGAACCTGAGAAAAGTGAAGCCAACTGATTCTGACTTTAGAAGAATAGCAGTATTTACTGAACTCTAGGATTAGTGTGCTGACACCCTCACCTCAAGAGGTCTATCACATTCTAATCCCTGGAAGGTGGGACTATGTTACCTTTGGTGGCAAAAGGGAATTAGTGTTGCAGACAGAATCAAGATCCTTTATAATCTGATAGGAAAACAGGGAGATTATCCTGGATTATTATTATTATTATTATTATGGTTTATCCAATCTAATCACGAATCTTTAACAGTGAGGAGGAGGTAGAAGATGAGGTCAGAGCCACTCAAAGTGTGAAGACTTCATCTGTGGTTACTGGCTCTGAAGACGAAGGAAGGGGCCATGAGCCAAAGAATGCAGTGCCCTCTAAGGACTGGCAATGCCCCTTTGCTGACAGCCAGCAAAAGAAGGGGACCTCGGTCTTACGACCACAAGGAACTGATCCTGCAACCAGACCCATCCCAGAGCCTCCAGAAAGGAATGTGGCCTGTGGACACCTCGATTTTAATCTGGAGACCCATGCCAGTCTTTGGAACTATAGAGCTGTAAGGGGAATATAAGAATATTAGACACTAACTGACTGAGCCACCCAGGTGCCCCGAGTTGCAAGTGTTCTTAAAATGACCACGGGACCTTAGATCTGGGCTTGAGGAAGCCCACTGTTCTCCTTGCCAAGTGTCACTGCACATACTCAACAACCATTGGCCACCTAACTCTAATTCTGTGAGATCAGACTGGGATGACACCCTTCCATCTCCCCGAGTACTCTGTTTTTCAGACATGGTCAGTCTTAGTCCTAACATTGTATCCCTAAGACAAGAAATGTCTATGATTTCAATTTGTCTCACTCATTCTGTGACTCACCTACTGAAAACTAATTGTCTAAAGGAGGAGCCAGCAAACTTTCCCCTAAAGGTCAGATAGTAAATATTTTAGGCTTGTGAGTCATATGGCCTATGTCATAACTAATCAACTCTGCTTTTGTAGCATGAAATCAACCCTACATGAAAGGTAAATGATTGTGTGTGTGTGGCTGGGTTCCAATAAAATTTTATTTACAAAAACAGACAGGCTGGATTTGGCCCATAGTCTATAGTTGGCTAACCCTTATTCTAAAGAAAGAATAAAAAACTAAAGTACATTCTACTTTTCCCACTTTGCAAGCTGGTACTGCCAGTCAAATTTTTAAGAACAATAGTGAGGAGCTAAAGTAGATGAAGCAAGATTACAGTCTACTTTTAAAGGGTTTGTGAAGTGTCAAAGTGAATTATGGTACAGTTAAGAAAACTATTTGGGGGCGATTGGGTTGACTGATGATTGGAATTCCATGTATGAATGGGGAAAAAAAAAAAAGGACTCTACTCTCTAGATTCTAAAGAAGACCCTCAGCAAGGACTGCCCAATTTTAAACACATGATCATGTGAAATATGATTATGTAAAAGCATATGAAACATGAAAACATAGATGGGCATATGCCATGCTGGGGCTGTTGTTAACCTAGTACCATCAGTTGGGTGGCTAAAACAACAGAACTTTATTTTCTCACAGTTCTGGAGGCTGGAAGTCTGAGACCGAGGGGTTGGCAGTATTGGTTTCCTCTGAGGGCTGAGAGGGAGGCTGTTCCCTGCTTCTCTCCTTGTTTCTGGTGGTTTGCTGGCGCTTTTGGCTTGGGGACGCATCACTCTGATCCCTGACTTCATGTTCACCCAGTGTTCTCCCTGTGTGTGTCTGCCTCCACAGCTAAATCCCCCCCTTTTTAAAGATTTATTTATTTATTTGAGAGAGAGAGTGAGAGAGATCACAGAGGGAGAGTGAGAGGGAAAAGCAGACTTGCTGCTGAGCGGAGAGCCCGACACGGGGCTCAATCCCAGGACCCCGAGATCATGACCTGAGTCATGACGAAGGCAGATGCTTAACTGACTGAGTTTCCCAGGCACCCCTAAATTTCCCCCTTTGATGACAACGCCAGTGATACTGGATTTGGACACACCCTCATGACCTCATTTTAACTTGACTCCTTCTGTAAAGACCCTATCTCCAAATAAGTGGATAATCTGAGGTACGAGGGGTTAAAACTCTATCCTATTCTTTGGGGGCGGGATGGCATAATTCAACCTGTAATATCTAGGCTTGTACATCAGGACCTCTAACAGAGCTGAAGGTCGCCACTTTTTAAACAGTAGTTAACGTTTATTAACTGTAAAGAGTTAGTAGAAAGGCTTTCTGGCAGGAAAAGGCACTCTGGACTGTCTCTCACTCAGAATTTTGGACTGGAAAAACTTGTGGTTCTCATCCCTCCTCCTGTACCTTTCTGTGCTGGGGGTGCCCTGGAGCCTGAAGGGCACAGGCTACAGTGCCCAAACCCAGTGGACTTCCCTGTTCACTTCTAGTTCTGCCAATCTCACTGAGGCACACAGTAAGTAAAAAACGGGGGTCTCCAGCCTAACCTCTCATATTTTATCTTGTCACTGGCCTCACCATAATTGTCTACAGCATTCAGCTTCGGAGACAATGGAAGAACTGTTATCTATTAGCGTACTTGTGTATTTTATTCTGGGCCCATCAACAGAGAGGGCAGCCAAGACCCTGACCTTGAAGAGTTCACCAATAAAACAGTATTATAGCTCATGAACAGCTCACAGACTCCATGGTACAGGATGGAGGACAGTGTTTTGTGATCTTTCCTCTGAGTATGAATCTTAAGGAAAAAAAAAAAAAAAATTCTCTTGGACTATTTTAAAGCTCCTCTGAATGGATATGTCCATACACTACCCAGGGGGGAAAGGATATTGCCACATTTCTGGAAGGGTATCAGGCAACATCTATCCACATTTTAAATGTGTATGCCCTGTGTTTTAGCAATTCCCTTTCTAGGAACTTAACTTTACAAATACTTACACATGCACATAAAAACATATGTACAAGTGTGTTCGCTGTGGAAAGGCAACTTATTGAGTTGTGAGTTTGTGTGTATTTTCCCTTCAATTGCATTAAGTCCTTGAAGCTTATTTAATTCACCCGCCCCAGGGGAGTTTTGTATAACAGGGCAGAGGACGCTTGGAGGGAACCCCTTTTATATTTAATTTTTAAACCTTATTTGTGTCTAGTAAAATCCTAACCAACTCATTAAAGTGCGTACTCTAGTAGGGGGAGGGTGGGAGGGGACAGAGACCTGGTCTCCGGGGTGAGAGGGTGGAAGTGGACAGATGAAGGTTTCTCCCAGCTTAGAGAAGAGCCCGAGGGTCTAAGGGCTTGTCATACTGTTGCATGATTAGCGAAGGCCTCCCAGCCATCGTAGGTCTCTTTTCAAAAGGAAACAAAGTATTTTTTATTTTTTTACTTTTTAAGATTTTATTTATTTGAGAGAGAAAGAGCGTGAGAAAGATCAAGAGCGGGGGGGAGGGGTAGAGGGAGAAGCAGACTCCCCGCCGAGCAGGAAGCCCAACCCAGGGCTCCATCCCAGGACCCTGGGATCATGACCTGAGCTGAAGGCAGACGTTTAACTGACTGAGCCACCCAGGTGCCCCAAAAAGAGTATTTTTTTTTTAAAGATTTTATTTATTTATTTGACAGAGAGAGACACAGGAAGAGAGGGAACACAAGCAGGGGGAGTGGGAAAGGGAGATGCAGGCTTCCCGCAGAGCAGGGAGTCCAACGCGGGGCTCAATCCCAGGACCCTGGGACCATAACCTGAGCCGAAGGCAGATGCTTAACAACTGAGCCACCCAGGCGCCCCTGAAAAGAGTATTTTTAAAAATAATTTAAGACACTCCCTATTTTGCTTCTAAAATTTAACTTTTCGGGTTTATCCTCTTAAAATCGGTCAACATGACTTTGAATACCAATTGGGATTTTCAGTGAATCCCTCTCCAATATGCAACTGTACTTTGACTGGTGTGTTTGCTAAGGGCTGACCTTAGTCCTCTCAGGTGGTGTCGGCTCCTTGATTCTTAGGACCGCTAGAGACCTACCTGATGACTTCTCCTCTGTTCCCCCGTCGTCAGGCATATCATGACAACCTCCCAGAAATGCTCCCTGACATCTCCATAGGCAATGGCTACCAGTTTGATAATCTCATCAAGAACAGAACTGACTCCATCTAGACCAAGAGGGTTTTAAGTAACATCGCGCTGTCTGAACGCTATTTTCCATTCCGAGGACTCAGGAATCGTCGGCTTCATTTTTGTAAATCTTAACATTGGTGACTGTTGTCAGATGGCCTGTCTGTAATTCCCCAAATACACATTTTTTGTTGAAAACCTGAGAAACTGGCCCATGTCTAGTTTTTTTTTTTTTCCTTCTTCTCTCTCAGGCTTTTTATGATTTCTTAGAAGGTAAAGGACAGAAGTTTGGGGACGATGCGTGTGTGTACCTAAGTCATCGGGCCGTGAGCTGCGCACGCGGAGAGAGGCTGTCTCTCATCCAATGTGCCTCACATTCCCTGCTCACGGAGTTTGCTCTGCACTGTCTGCTTGTGGAAGCATCCTCCTTCCTCTGCACAGATGCACCCATCATGTGGATGCCGGCTGGCAGGACTTGGGGTGGAAGAGGAAAAGGAGATGGGCAGAAGGCTAGGAATTCTCCAGACAACCGGCACCGGGCTCGAACCTGAGCCAAGTGAGGACCAGCCCGACTTGGTTCGCAGGGACGGAATGGGCCACTTACTCCTTCAGCTGCTTGGTTAGCTTCACCACCTGGGAGGCCAGCGACATGCAGGTCTCCACCACCACCAGGTACCGGGAGCACAGCGTGTGCCCGTGGTGCTCGGCGCTCTGGGACGGCTTTTCCCCCGCATGGTTCTGCATGGTAACGTTTGCTCCATATTCCACCAATGTCTGTGGGAACGTGCAGAGGCAGGGGATCGTTACAAGAGCTCCCTGGCGACATTTTGGAATGACGGGAAGAGAAAGGTGAATGGAACTTTTCCTGCTAGTCCAGTACCAGTTACCAGAGACCATGGCAGGGTGGGGAGGGGGGCGAAGGGTATCATCACATACAAAAGAGAGCCTCTGGTGGCTTTGTAGGGGTTGGTATCAGATACTTCCCTCAGAGCCTTCACACATGCAACAGATCCTGTCCCAGGGCTACCAACCCACCCAGCCTTGGAGGAGCCAGCTGTGAGGGGCAGACCCTGCTGCTGTCCTGAGGGGGCTGTCTCCTGGGTGAGCTGCTTTGTTCCTTTCAGTGGGTGGGCCCAGAAAGTTGGGGACACCTGCAAGGAGAGAGTGGGGTTTTGTTTACCTGTTCCTATTTGCTTGGGAAGCACATGTGGCCTGTTGCTGAGCCTACCCCATCAGAAATAAAAAGCACTGGAGAGAAATGACCTGCAGGGGCTGTGTGTGGGGCAGCCCACACTCCCACCATGTGTCTGGCAAGGATATGACCCATGGATTGAGGAGACGTCGTAGAAGGGGGCTTGGGGTGAGCTTGCTATCATCCCACTACGGAAGGAGAGGGTTCTCGGCAGAAAGAGCAGTGGGTGTGATATAGGCAGGGGGGCTGTATGGGAGGAGGAGGCCGTAAAGTGGGGGCCAGATCTCCCAGGTCAGGTATCAGTGGGGAGGGAGGCTCCAGAGAGCCCTCTGAAGACCTCACCCATCAGGCCCAACAGAGGGTCAGCACCTGAAGGCTGCCACAGAGGACATCAGTGGCCCACCACCGTGAGCCAGAGAAGGAATTATAGTTTTCAGGGAGAGTGCCATGACCTCTGCCAGTTAAGCAAAGAGACGGTTAACTTTTCTCTCCTCCCTCCTCCTTGTCTCCAACACTGAGCCCAGCAGAGAGAGGAGAACAGGAGTTAAGGTGAGGTGTACAAAGCCAATCACGGCTCGGTCCCTTAAACCCCGAGTCTAATCTGGGCTGGAGAGGAGAATACTTTGATTCAGCAGTAACGCCAAGATTTTAAACTGGTTTGGAGTCAATGTTAAGGCACAAGCAAGCAGAAAGTTATGGAATCTGACCAAGGCATCGTTAGTAAGGAAGAGAGACTTGATGGACCACGGTTGACATCGCTAATTAAAAAAAAAAATCAAAATTCTTTTCTATTTATACTGTGGTGACATGAGATGCCACAGAAAGCTGTTACATCAATATTAATCAGCTGCCACAATCTGACACATCCTTGGACACTATCAAGATGAGACTTGACCCCTGGGTTTATATGAGTAAAAGGTACTATTGTTCCCAAAAGTTACACTTAGGATTTTTAAGTTCCCAGATTGCTTAAACTCAGAGGTCACAACAGCCTGCCCAGAGTGTCCCTGTCAACACTCACTGATCCCACTCCCTTGACTCTGGCCTCCGCCATTTCCCTTCCAGAGTTTCCTAGACTCAGTCTCTGCCGCCTCTCAAAAGGGCCTTTGCTCACGTCCTGTTCTACTCTCAGTCTCTCTGTGTCTTTTCTTTTCTTTTTTTTTTTTAAATCTCACACTCAGTGGATAGACCCGCTTCCAAGATTATCCAAGTTTCCACAGCCACGGTATCTAGTGCCAAAAATATCATTTGTGTTAAGTGGAGAGATGAATGGCCCAAAAGCACAGATAGCCTCTCTTTGCATATAAAAGAAAAATGACTGAAATCTCAAACAGAATTAGTGCTATCAGCTGGTTTTCTTTGGCTTTCAGTCACTTATTAGCTGATAAAAAAAAAAGTTCAAGACTAGTAAATATTAGAGTGTTTTGTTAAATGGAAAAAAAAGTGAAGTTTTTGGTTATGTTCAATTACTTTTCCTCCACAGAAAGTCACGCTACTCCTTTCATCTTCCGTAGATCCTGGTAATAATTTAAATTTCTCTCTTTTCTCGGCTCTGGGTTCTCATCACTGCTTTTACAACGTGGTGCCTTAAATGAGAAGATGCACGTGTTGCCAACATTAGTGGGGAAACGTCCAGACACGTGGAATATTTCCTATCCCTTCGTTCTCCAAAGGGCAAAAGCTCTAGAGAGCGTTCTGCTGTTACCTCTGCCTTTTGCTTTTATTAGTCTCTTGCCTTTCACGCCGACAGCTTTTCCAGATCCTCTCCTGTCATCTTCAGAGTCTCTTCTACCTTCCTAAACAACTGGTTCTCACTGCCCGATTTTCTTTTTTGGATACAGTCTACCCTGCGCACAGTAGGACGTCAGTAAGTGCCTGTTAAATCAGCACGCTGAGTTGTAATAAAAGAAACAACATATAGTAAGGCAACAAAAGATGCTGCTCTCTTAGAGTTGCTGTATACGCATAGCTTATTCTGAACTGCATGAGCTCAGTGAGGTGAAAAGCAGTTTCTTTTCTCACGGCCTTCGGCCCTACGTTGTCAGTCAGGAAAGGGCTTTCCTACACCTCAGGCAGATGTGGGAACACGTCCACAGATGCTGGGTCATTTTCCACGATAACAATGGTGTGATTGTTCTGGCGCTGGTAATGACGCATTCATAAATCAAATTCCAGGCTAAATCTAAATAGAGCCTTTCCTTCCCGCACACGGTCACTCTTCTTGCTCCTCCTCCTCCTCGTTGGTCACCTTCTCTCTTTGCTTTGTCATTCAGGGCCTTAACATTTTTTTTTTTTTAAGTCAAGGGATCTATCTGCTTTTTATATTCACATGTTCCTCATACTCCTGAGGACCCTCGTTGGGCTTTCAGCCACATGCTATTGTGATGGCGGCACTGGGTTTGGCTCAGCTTCATTCACCAAAGCACTGGGTGGAGGGGAGAGATTCCGACTCTTCTTGTGGGAACTCCACATGATCTAAGCAGCATGTGGATACTCTCCCAGGTGGCTGGCGGCAGGGGGCAGAACCTACCCCCCTCTCCTGGGGCTCTGCTCCCCAACCCCACATCCTTGCACACACAGACCATGGTAACACCTGTGAGGCAGGTAGGACTACAAGGAGGAGGCCACCTGAGGCTGTTGGTTGGACAGGCTGGCCACCCTGCCTAGCTGGCCCGTGGGCTGAGGGGAGCAACAGTAATACCTGAGGCCTCCCTGTAACCAGTTCTGGGGCTTTCTGAAGGCATTCTAGAAGCTCTGCCCTGCCCCAGAGAAAGGGGGGAACCCACAGCCCTCCATCTGCAGTCCCTTTCGACATCCTGCAACACTCAACGAGAAACTCGTACGGCTCTTTATGCTGACATTTCTGTGAGTTTCTGGAAATACGAGTATATCAACTTAATTCCTTACGATCTACTACAACAGAAAAAGCTGACTTAATCCACACATGTCTTCCAGTACACAAAATTTCCAATTTTTTGGTTTCATTACTTGATAAACTCATTTGTCTCCTCAAAGCAGCAGGGCCTGTGTACCTGGATGCACCCGAGAAAGCCGTGCTGGGAGGCTACGTGGACGGCACTGTTGCCATCTTGGTCCACTTCATCCAGGGAGATGCCCTGTTCTTGCATAAACTGGAGAAGCCAAAGAAGAATTTTTTCCTATAAACATAAAGATAGTTGCAATTAATGGAATATTATGCAGCAAGTCTGAAATAAAGACAGAGGGAAACAAAACTCTGACGTGGGAAGCTTACATACAACCAGGTTTATCGTATCAGCAGAAAATACCCTTCCTTCTGAACTGAAAATCCATGCATCTCTCTGACTCAAAGTCCATGAAAGAGGAACGCTCAGAGAATTTTAAGAGCGGGGAGTTATGTCAGAAATGCTCTCGTTTTAGTTATTCTATAGATGTAAAAGTAGAACGTTTGAGTAGTTCCTCAAAGTGACACAGCTAGACAGATTGAAAGCGGGGACCAGAATCTAAGTCTTTTGATGACAAGGCAATGTTTTTGCTACTTTGTTATACTATCTTTAGGGTGCAGGAATATTATTATAAAACCTCAGGCATTAAGAGAACCAGCTTCTCCTTTGAAGTTGATAATGCTTCGACCATGCCTTCGTGATCCCAGACCTCCTGCAATCAACAGGCTGACAGAGAGAAGCAAGAGCTTAAGTGGCTAAGTATAAGATAACCTCACCGAGAGAAAACCAGGACCCTCCTGATTTTTCTGACCAGATGTTGGTGGGGTTTTAAAGGTAAAGGCTTCCCTTATTCCCTGTTAAATGGAGGGTGCCCGACACTCTGAAGGCAACCTTTCAAGAGCAAAGACATAGTGCGCTCAGCGTGTTGTCAAAATCCGTTTGCCTTTTACCCACTGAGTATTTTGTGGTATTTTCATGTTATGTTTGGCCTCAGGAGAAAGCAGGGGGATGGGATTTCACTGTTTTAAAATAGATGAATTAAATATAATGTTAAAAAAACATGAGAGTGGTAAAAACAACAGCATGAAGTTTAGTGAGTGGAATTTGACATTTAAAAAGATGATCATGTGTTTGAAATAGCCTTGAATCTCTCCTTAGCCTTTTAAAGGTTTCTCTTTTTTTTCCAGTTACTTGCTCGGACTGGTCATGAACTTTTATACTTTTCTGGATTAAATTTGCCTTCACCTTCTGAACATGCCAACTAATCTGCTAAAAGAATGTTGGATAAAAACAGCCAACCCCTTTCATGGTTCACCCCTCGTGGGGGGAGCAGGGCACTGTTTATGAAGGCATTGGCAACATCAGGGACAGAATGAACATTTGCACCACACTCTTCCCATGTGAGCGAGCAGGGAGTAAGACCCCCAAAGAACAAGAAGGGAAACATGTAATCAATGCCTATCACCTATCAAGAAGGTACCCAGGGAATGCAGGGTGAGTGTCAGCTGCAAAAGCAGACAGACCCTGAAGAACATGAAACCCTCAAGGTCCCTGGAGAATGAGGTGGAGCAGAGCCTGAAGGCCAGGGTTGGGAATGAGAATCTGGATCAGGGTATGCTGACATGCTTGTCCTCTTCTTCTGAGGCAAACTTGGAGAAAGTTGGGGCTGATATTTGGACCAGAGTGGGTGGTGATGTTTCCTATGCACAAGGTAGAACAACTTTCTTTATTTTTCCTAATTAGGAAGGGGAAAAATGGTATGACTCTGACTTGGAGACAGATGATTCTACCATGGGATCTTAACTCCTTAAAAGATTTGGGTGAGTGGACATATCTCAGAATAAAAAACATAACCCCACAGGTTTGAAGTCAATGGCGAAGATCTGGAAACAGCAAGAGGGCAGGTCGCCATGCCACAACCAGTGACAAGGACAGTCCTGCCACCTCAGTGGCTTGTTCTCAAGCGTGTGGTGACTTGGCTTGCTCTGTGATATAAATCATAGAATCTTAAAATTGCAGAGTGGGAGAGACTTCAGGAATTATCCAATTCAAACACCCTTGTTTTACATATCAGAAAGCCAAAGAAGACAAGTATATATTCTCTGCTATTCTAGCAACTCTATTCTTCAGCAAGTCAAGCTCAAAGGAATGCAAGATAGTTAGGAATATTCTATATGAACCTGCTTGTCAGGCATACTTTCATATTTTTCAGACTCAAATTAATAGTGTAGTGGATAATGGTGTTCTACCTGGACAGAAAATGCCCTTTACTATCATTCACATTGTTTTGACTTGTAATAACAGGGTTGTAGGAAATGGAATACTGCATTTCATAAGACTAGGAATTTTCCCTGTGTTGAAATATGGAGAAGAATCTAGAGACCTGGACTTTGCAGGGGCTTGAAAATCTGGGCAAACAGGCCAAGGTCTGTATGAGGCCAAGAGCTACCTTAGCTCCCGATGGTCTTCCGAGTCAGGTTCAGCCCGGATTGTTCAATAACCTGCCTTTTTTTCTTCTGATGGCATGAAAAACTCTTCCTGATAATTAAGGATCTTACCCAATTCAATATGCAAGACTTACATAAAGTAAAACCATTATTCTACTGTTCAGAACAGGCATGTCTTTGCCCAGCACCTCAAATTCAGTTTCGCGTTCTGCAGTGAGCAATTTACTTTAGTAAGAAGTGACGTAACCAGCCTGTTCACTGATAAACTTCATGGAAACAAAAGATCTTGAATTCCTGGGTTCTGATAAGAGCATATTTAGCATCCCCTCTCAGAGAAATGCTGCTTTCTGCTCTGATTCTGGAGAACATGCCAGCAGAAATCGATGGTCCAAAAATTCAAACAGCGACTTACCAGAGAAATATCTAGTAAGGAGAACAAATACAACTATCTTCTCCAACCAAGAAGGGCCTTATGAATGTATATGTGTAATAAATATACATGCAGTGAGGTCTACCTCTCTCCTTAGACATTCAGCACTCTCTTTCTGTGTGTGCATGTGTGCATGCGTCACGGAGATGTTCAAAGCAGAATGTAATTTCTGATTTTCATTTTCCCTAAGTATTGCTTTCAGAGAACATCTGATGCAGTCACGTGGATGGAGAGGCCCTTCTCTCTTATTTCCGTTTTACGGAATGCCTTAATAAGAATGCCTTTCCAACTTAACATTCTACCCATCCACCCACACACTCATCAGTACATTCAATTTTCACCTTTTGACTAAAAACTTCCTTCATGTCCTGGTTTCCTCTTCTGGGGATTTTCTGCTCTTTGGGGAACCTGCTTTATTGGAGTATTTTGTGTGTTCTTAAAGGCAATGTAATTTGTTTAATGAGGCGATTAACACATGTAATTCACAAGATTTTCTGGACAAAGTCTAATAAAAAACGTAATGGAAAAGGGTGCACGGGTTTATTACTGGCATCAATAAAATCTCTACAGTTTTCGTTACAAACGTTAAGTTCTAAAGGAGGCAGCTTTTTCTGCAATCATATGTCATCAAATCTAATACACCATCAATTGTATGATTCAGTCTGGTTTTTGAGATGGTAAAGTGTAAGAAAGTGGCCAGCCATAATTTCATGGTGTCCTTTATTATAAGATAAATGTAGAATTCAGAGATAGTAACGTGTGAAAAAAAAAAAGTATATCCAAGGATGTCTTCAATAGGTTAAGGCCTAAATATTTTTTTGCCAAGTTTCCCTAATGTTTTATTTATGGTGAAATAAGTAAATTGAACAATATTGATATCAATAAAAATAGGAAATTGGGAGACATCCAATAATCCAAAGAACCAATATTTATGTCTACTACGTGCCAGCAATAGGCAATGCGTCATGTGGCTTTTTTCCACTTAGTCCCCAGAGCTGCCTTGTGAAGTAGGTTCTTTTATCTCCATGTTAGAGATGAGGAAACTGAGGTTCAAAGAGATCATTTCTTAAAAAAATAAATGTCTCATATACGGTAACAGTCACCTTACAGGCAATACAATGGCACTAAATTCCTATCTTTCAATAGTTACCCTGAATGTAAATGGGCTAAATGCCCCAATCAAAAGACACAGGCTATCAGACTGGATTAAAAAACAAGACCCATCGATATGCTGTCTGCAAGAGACTCATTTTAGAACCAAAGACACCCCCAGATTGAAAGTGAGGGGGTGGAAAACCATTTACCATGCTAATGGACACCAAAAGAAAGCTGGGGTGGCAATCCTTATATCAGACAAATTAGATTTTAAACCAAAGACTGTAATAAGAGATGAGGAAGGACATTGTATCCTACTTAAAGGATCCATCCAACAAGAAGATCTAACAATTGTAAATATCTATGCCCCTAACATGGGAGCAGCCAATTATATAAGGCAATTAATAACAAAAGCAAAGAAACACATCGACAACAATACAATAATAGTGGGGGACTTTAACACCCCCCTCACTGAAATGGACAGATCGTCTAAGCAAAAGATCAACAAGGAAATAAAGACTTTAAATGACACACTGGACCAAATGGACTTCACAGACATATTCAGAACATTCCATCCCAAAGCAATGGAATACACATTCTTCTCTAGTGCCCATGGAACATTCTCCAGAATAGATCACATCCTAGGTCATAAATCAGGTCTCAACCGGTACCAAAAGATTGGGATCATTCCCTGCCTATTTTCAGACCACAATGCTTTGAAACTAGAACTCAATCACAAGAGGAGAGTCGGAAAGAACTCAAATACATGGAGGCTAAAGAGCATCCTACTGAAGAATGAATGGGTCAACCAGGAAATTAAAGAAGAATTAAAAAAATACATGGAAACCAATGAAAATGAAAACACAACTATTCAAAATCTTTGGGATGCAGCAAAGGCAGTCCTAAGAGGAAAGTATATAGCAATACAAGCCTTTCTCAAGAAACAAGAAAGGTCTCAAGTACACAACCTAACCCTACACCTAAAGGAGCTGGAGAAAGAACAGCAAATAAAACCTAAACCCAGCAGGAGAAGAGAAATAATAAAGATCAGAGCAGAAATCAATGAAATAGAAACTAAAAGAACAGTAGAACAGATCAACGAAACTAGGAGCTGGTTCTTTGAAAGAATTAACAAGATTGATCAACTCCTGGCCAGATTTATCAAAAAGAGAAGAGAAATGACCCAAATCAACAAAATCATGAATGAAAGAGGAGAGATCACAACCAACACCAAAGAAATACAAACAATTATAAGAACATAT